GACTAGATAGAAGGCTACACTAAAATCCATTTGTATTTCCCTCTAGAGACTGAAGAAATACATGTTGGACATCGTGAAAAATATCTTGTCTCTCACAATCTTGGTCAAAGTTATTGACCTCTTAAAACATTCTTAGAACTCCTTAAGAGAGTGTCTTAAAGCCTCCAACTTTTCTTAGGAACACTAAGCCTCTTTCTTGGTAGCGGCAAGTTCAACCCTGCAGACTAGTTTGGGAGGCCTTACTTCAAAAAGCTTCTATCTTAAGGGAACCACCTAGTTATGGGTGGCCTCGAATGAATTTTTGTTAGAGCCCAACTTAAGGGCAAAACCATATGCTTGGTTTTTCGGTATCAAATAAACCACTCTAATGCTCTACAGTTCAGCCTCCGCAACATATTTTTTCCCTTGTAGTTATTTAAATGCAGCTTGGTTTGCCATGTTCACAATAATGACCTCTCACATGTGAACCTTTTCGGTTACCTAACACTTTTAAAAGTGGGTGCATATCATGAAGGTCTACCAAGAGTAATTGTTAAAAGTGATATTAACCAAACCAAATAGAAAAAATAACAAGAAAATTTCTTGCATTAAAATCCATTTGGCCAGTTAAAGCCAAATAGGGGTAGAAGCTTTTATCATACATCGTAGAGATGTCTTATGAAATGATAAGGATCCTCTATAGTGTTCTTACCACCTCGAGGCTTGTTTTTTCTCTAATTATAGCCTCTTTCTTTTCTTTCATCAAGATGGGAAAATCAAAGGGAGAACGACCAAGAACAAGTGTCCTTAAGCACCTCAGGGTTGGCCAACTATTGCTTCCTCAGCTAAGATAAAAAGTTAAGGTAGAGGAAATAACACCTTGCAAGCGTTTATTGGTGAGGTTGGAGCATAATCTATTGCTTAGGTAAAAACTCTTATCTTCTTGAAAAGAGTAGTGGCACCATAATTATAGTAAAGAGAGTTTAATTTATTTTTTTCTGGCTAGGGGGATATCACAGCCCCTAATGTTTATAAGGGCAATAGCCTCCAACATTATCTTCTTAAAGATAAAACCCTTATGAGCAAAGAGTTCACTAGCATTCCCTATCACCTTTCTACCTCTACCTCTATTAATTACAAGATATAAAGACCCTCGGGGTAAACTTTCACTAATGGGTCATGCTGAACCTTCTCCTTCTCCTTCATCTATCAGTTTTATAAAGACAAACATAAAACTAAGGTCAGAAGCAAGGTAAAAAAAAAAAATGAGGGCTACAACCTACCTTGTAAAATGGTGTGGTGATGTCATTGGGCCATTTTATTGATTTAATATTTAGCTAAAATAAAATCCAGCACATTATAATTTTTTTCCTCATCTGAGCTTAAACAAGGCTTATTATGTACTTCATGAGGAGGACCTTCTAGTAGTGGAAACAACTTTAGATGGGTTACAGTCCTTCTCCGGTATTGATTATCCTAATAAATCTCATAAGCAATCATCTCCACCTTTACTTCTTAACATGTGTTTGCTTCTCAACCAACATGTTCTTTATGGCATCGTTGTTTCTGTTGGAGAAGATGAAGAACCACAACAAGTCATTACCTTCATCGGTGCTAATAAAGAAATTAATAACAACTTCTAAAAATATTGATCGTATGCTCAAGCCCAATAATTTTATAATTTTTTTAAAAGAGGACATGATTATTCATTCATTATGGTGCAACTAGCGTAGACCTAGCTAATAGTAGTAGAACACTTCCCTTGTGAACCCTTAAAAAGGGAAGGATACCCCATCATATAAACAAAAATAGGGGTATAATTTTAAAATAACTCTAGGTAGAGCCTAGGGTCTACTTACTAATATGCTTAGTAGGGTCAGGCATCTGAAGCACATACTCTTCAAATTAGTGGTGGGTCATAAATTCTACATCTACAGCATTTATGCTATTAGGAATGTTATTTATAGAAGTCTGGGGCAACCTCTATCTCTCCTTAAAATCTCTTATAAGAATAGGAGAGGGACTCTTGTGAGACCTTCTCTCTTGAGTATCTTTGGTAGGGGGAGGATAAGGACTCCTACATAAGGGTTTTCTCCCTTCTCTACTAGATAAGGATGCCAATGTAGCATAGCCTTTTATCTTAGGACCCAATTTGATAGACCTTTCCATATTGCTTCTTTTAGGTTCTGGTTGGAACCTGAACACCCTACTACGGATAGGAGTGCTTTTTTTTAGAGATGGATATGTTATTCTTAGGTTTATTTGTTCTGTTTTAAAGAAAATTGGGTAAAAAGTTTTTAGAATGAGAAATGTTTGAAGTGGGTCTTTTCTTGAAATAGAGAAGAGATGACCTAGGGTCTTGTTGCAAGAGTATTTTTTTTTTTAAATCACAAAAAGTTAATGTGAAAAAAGTCACAAGCAAAAACAGTTAGGGTTATAAAAAATAAACTTTTTATTTTCACCGTCAGATGAATAACCTTTCATGTCATCATAAATATAAAAAATCCATTCAATTACTTTATTGAAAGCCAACCACCATTTTATTTCCTAAAAGACATATTTCCCAGTGAGGACGAGCCACCTAGACTAAGATATCTCAATAGTCTTATATGGGACACATAAGATCTTATGGGAAAGGTAAAAATGGTCCCATCTATTGCTAATAAAGACTCTTTAAAATCTTTACATATATAACCCAAAGATTTTGGGGGCTATTAATAGATCAACATTTATTGTTTTTGTTTGGATATGCCCTTCAAAATAATGATAAAAAAAGGGTAATAATCCATCATCTATGGACTCAACTAAGCGTTGAGCCCAAGCATATATAAGTCTAGCGAGTTTCTATTCCTCTATCTCTGGCTTAGCCAAGCGCTAAGTCTTTGCTCCTTTCATGCCATAAATATTTTATCTTAACAAGTTAGAGATAATCTTGATAAATTAAAATTATTTTGTTAATGTTTTAACTCTTTCTCTTCAATAAAGAGTTTAAAGGGGGCCACTAAAAAAAGAGAGGGTATCATCTAAAAAAAGATTTAATTTTTTTCATAAAAAATAGCAAATCTATTTTAGATATTTCTTCTAAATTATTTTTTTTCTTTCAAACAATACTCATTTAATTATCAAAAAGTCTCCAAATATATAAGAGATGACCTTTTACAGGCATAAAAAATGTTCAACCAATAAGCCTAGCCAAAGATGGATTGATTAGATTGATAAAACTAAAAGATTAACCAAGTATCCTAGATACCAATTTGACCCACAAACCCATAGGATAAGAATGGATGAGTTGCATACCTATATGTTGAAAACAAATAAATTTGTAAGTAGAAAATAAAGGAACCAAATGGGAAACGCGTCTTCGTCTTTTTAAATGATACTGATGATAATAAAAAATAAAAATTATGCTAAAAACCCATTTACACGTTCTAGGCACACCTTATATGAAGCAATGTATGTGCATGACATAAAAGAAAGTATGGTCAGTCTCGTATGAAAGTGGTCTTGATAGGTGCATGGTCCAAGAACAATGTAAATACCAGTTAGGGGACGACCTCTCTCCATTAACTTAAAAATTAAAACGTGTGGGGTGAACATTGTGTAGCCAACATTGTTCACCCCTCCCAAAACATTATGGATGGCACTATTTATTTTTTGACAATTCATTTTGATCCTCAAAGTTTTATTTTAGGCTATTTGATCCTAATTTAAGGCCAATTGCTTTTAATTTCTTAGTCAGGGGTGGAATTGGAGGAATAAAGATAAAAACAAAAAAAATGTCAAACAGAGGTGGCGTGCTAGAAGTTTTGGAAAATATACACTTTGGTTCTCTAACTTTTAAAATAAGACAAATTATACGATTCTGGTGCCTTAATTTTTCACAAGTTTGATTTTGGTATAAAAAATCATTTTTGGTATTTTTTAGTCCTTGGTTGAAAGAGAGAGAGAGAAAGAGGGAGAGATCACCAGATTATGATGGTAGGAAGAGAAAAATATCGTTGACATCGAATTAGGCCACCAAAATGGTCAATAATTGTGTTAAATGATTTTATTTGATAAGAAAAGTTCATATTAAGTGTTTTTTTTTACCTTAAAAAAAATATTTGAGCTTGGTTTGATTTTTGTTTTCAAGTTGATTTTGGTTTATAAGAAGGTTTTTTAGTATTTTTGAGGTCATGAATAAGTTCATCACAGTTTTTAAGGTGTTTTGGATATAAAAAAAGGATTGGAAAACAGGTATTTTAGTAAAAAAAATATAAACCCTAATTTTCTAAATACCATAATAGCTAGAATCCGGACAAATCAAACAATGAGCCATCTAAGTTTTTGTTCTTAAAAAATTGTGTGGTGGACATGGTAACAATTTGGTTACTAAAGTTTAGTTCAGTCCAAACATAAAAACAATACTGAGTAACAGAGTTTTAATATTTTGAAGCAATGAGTACTTGAATTAGGATTTGGTTACTGAAGTTTCTTTTGACTTTTGAACAAGTTAGGTCAAGTCCAAACATGAAAGCAATACTCCCAAGTAACAGAGTTTTAATATTTTGAAGCAATGTGGACTGGAATCGGGATAGAAACACATTTATTACTAAGACGTGCAAGCAAAGCGATTGCCAAAGCACCTTCCAAATCTTAAGTCACTTTCAGTCTGGATATGGAAGGCGTGGAAGTTAGGAACAGTACAAAATGAATGACATTCAGTCGTGCACAACTCGCATATCCAGCTTACCTCTATCAGACCAGGCCTCGACCCTCTCCAATTACGATGATCTATGGAAATGGGACTGCGTCGCCTGGCCCTGGAGGCAATACATCGTTTATCCTCGCACGCCCCAAAAAAATTAAGCTTCAGGTCGTCCGTGGCGCACTACACTGGCATGAGTAATATCATCGCCAGAGCATGAATTCAACAGCTGGTAGAGGGCCAAGTAATTATTTAAGAAAAAGAATGAAAAAATCAACGGGCTCCCTTAAGGGTTGGAATTGGCAAAGGCCTTCTTTTTATCAAAGCCTCAAGCTAGATTCAAAACCATTTTAGATAGTCTTGCAAAGAACAAGATTATTGGTCTCCAGGGTCAAAATTTCTGTGACAACTATCAAGGCATTTACAAATGAGAGAAATACATTAAAAAAAAAAAAAGACAACCAGCTAGCATGCTATACAGAACACTAACTCTGATCTAATCACAGCATATTACAGGGGATGGAAGATCAAAATTGTACATGAACCTTCCTCTATTTAAACCACGGTTTCATGTTTGGCTCACAATCGAAAATTTATAAATTATATTTCCTGACTTAATTTTTGTTGCTCAAGGTTCTCGATAAAGGCTTTCTTTTCATCATCTGGAAGAGACTTGAACATGAATACAGATTTATCCCCAATGTCATCCTTGAAATTAAATAACAAAGCGTCAGAAAATTCCATGGATATTCACTGCGTGCTCCAATCATTTAAATTATCCGAGGACATTAACATGAATTATTGACCAATAACATACCTTAATGGGCTGAGTGAATTTCCTTCCGGCAAATATCACAAAGAGGGCCATCCATGAAGCTAAAAGTGTAAGTTTTACTCCATCATCCATTAAACCAGTCTGCATTATAACAGATGACAGCCATCAAAATCTAGATAAAAATAGAGTACAAAAACCCAAGTGTGCTACACAAGCACACAACAAAATACAGAAGCATGCAGGAGGTTTTCACAACAGCCTCTATCATCAAGCATGGACACCTCAGCACGTGCTTCCTCGAGGTTCAATACTCAGATAATCATGAAGGCAAGCAAACATCCGCGACCCCAACCCAAGCCCCAGCAAAATCTAGCCCAAAAGTTGATGTAAAAAAAGGATGAAAAACTGGAATAAATTTTTTTATCAAGCAATTTCTAATATCTTGTAAGGGTTGAAAAGAGGAAAAGCAAGGAGCAATTACAATAACAATCTCCAAAATCTCAAGCAATTTCTAACATCTTGCTAGGGTTGTAAAGAGGAAAAACAAGTAATTAGAAAATTGCAGACAAGATGACTATAAGAATGACCTTGACTTATTCTAAAAAAACAAACATCCTTTCTAAAACATGTGATTATATTTCCATTTGACCATGGTAAGGGAAATATATTGATCGCATGCTGAATGTTTCCAAAAGCATACCAGGTGTCCAAGAAGAACTGTGGGTATAATGAATGTAAGAATACCAGCTTCCAGCTTTCCATAGCAGAGGCCTGTAATACAAAATCATATAACTCGGTATACATAGCATTCGGAACTAGATATGTAACATGGCATCATGAGCTATAAAAAGAAACACACAAAAATCACAAACTACATGCTCATACTAAGAGGCAAAAGGCAGCTTTAAATCCTGATATAATCAAAATGAAAGGACGAAAATATCACATTTACGACAATTTATTATTTGCTGACAAGCAGTTCCATGATTGAAGGGCTGAACACATCGAATTCTTTTTGCACTCCTCTCTTTGTTCTTGTCCCAACCCTGTTCTTGTCCCAACCCCCTGATCTCGTAAGAACTTTGACACAAATAATTGGAAATGGCAAATTAAAATGCCAATTTCCATTCAATAGTTTGACACGGGTGAAATAAGAAACAATTTTCTACTGACTTGTTTTCCCTGTATCGTTATGAAGGAATTATTGAATAGAATACAATACATTATGCAAAATGGGGGCATTGTGGTTAAGTAAATTTCTTCTTAAGGAAGTATCCCCGTAATAATTTTAATTTCACCAAGCATGTCCCATCTGACCATGGTATTTACATAATTGAAAGGTGAATAACCCGAAATAATTCTGCATTCAATTCATAAGTGACCACCCAAACTAGCAGAGTATCCACAGAATATAACAACCATATTACCTTCTTTAAAGACAAGTCCTGTAAGTGCTGCAAAAAGCGGGCCAACAAACCAGACAGCTGTTGGGTTATTAACAACATATTGTATCAAGTTTTCACCAGCTGGTTGAGCAAGGTTCGTGCATGTGGCTAAAGATCCAATAACACCCAGTGCCCAAAAAGCTTGAAGGGTGCGCTTAATTTCAGTTACATAGATATGAATAAGAAACAAAGATACGCCAAGACCCCCGGCTCCAAGAGTGTATAATAAATCAAGATTTTGTTTGATTATTTCACTCAACAGAGAGTCGCTGGGTAAAAAAGCATATGATGCAGCAAACACGAATGACGAAGCAGCAGTAACTAATCCAGATCTGTATAAAATCACCTGTTACAACAAGCGCATTATCCTCAATAAAGAGCTATCTATGAAAAGGATTATTTAAATTTATTGGGTTATGTCTAGAGGCAATAATTCAAACCACAAAGCTGTTACGACTGCATTCAAGATTGACAAATTAGCATGAAACAGCTTGTCCTTCTCTCAATTCATAAAGGTCCACAATTTTGATGACATAATCATAGCATCTTGATTCAACAAAAACAAGACTATAAAATAACAATGCACGTCAACAAATGATTAATTAAACAGAGACACGGCATTGGTTCTTAAGGAAACTCAAGGCACCGAAAAAAAAGGACAAATGCACTGTGCTGTTCCTCAACAGAGAAAAAGTCTTACATGGAACCCGCCCCACTCCAAAACCACACCAAAATCTGTGGAAATGATAGGTTTTGTTGAAATCTTATGCCCCCTCTAAAATTGCCTATGAGGAAAGGAACCTTGGTATTCCTTCCGTCTTCCCAAGCCACATGGCCCAAACTGAATAGTCAAAATCACTAAATTTTATCATCCCTTCCACCTTAACGCAGCCCTCATCAGACTCGTTCCATAGTGGGAATGAGTAAAGATCATAAATGCACACCATTACAAACCAGATTTCATTTTGTCATTTACTTGATGCAGGAGGAGTCCTTTACTATTCCATTAAACCATTAAATTTTCATTTTGAGGAAAGACAGCAACTTTCAAATTAAAAAGTACCTCTCGAACGTCCGATGATTCAACTGTCCAGGGACCATAAACACCATTATAAACCGGCTGAGAGCTGTCCCCAACAGCCTCACACCTGACCCCTCCATTTTTAGACCTCAACCATGATGCTTTGTTTGAGAGTTTCACAGGAGAAGCATGGGTAAATCTTGTAGGGGGGGTGATTAAGCAAGTGGATAGCACGCGAGACGCCATAACTAGAAACTACCCAGCAAGAAGATGGGTGGTGGTGGTGGTGGTGGTGGAGAGAGGAATGGCAGCGCTTGAGGTGGTTAGGGAGCTGCTTTGTGGTTTTCTATAGAGAGAAGGATGTCAGCTGGTGATTTGAACTTCGAAAGATAGTGGGGCTTGAAAGAGCGTGATGGTGGCGTCCGACAGTGAAAAAGAAAATCTGATGGCCGGGAGAAGAGAAGAGGGGATATATTTTGGCTTTCTTTGGGTGAGTGGCTGGCTGTCTGCGAGGGGAATTGAGTGGGTGAGTCTTTTTATTTTCATTTTCATTTTCATTTTCTTGATAGATAACTATTTTTTATATTTATTATGTCACTTTTGTTATTTTTACATTTTAAAAAAATTAAAAAATTGTTTTTTTTTTCCCTAGTGATGCTTGTTAACTCGTCATCTTTTCAATATTAATTATGAAAAAAAAAATTGATAATGCCTCCTGTTTAAGACTAGAAGTATACTCTTGACAAAACAATGACTGCACCAGGAAATAATAATAATTGTAAAAAGATAATGGAAATGAAATATGTGGCTACAAAGGTCTCATCTTCTATCATCTCTAACCCAGCCAGTTATCTTATTTGGTTTGATCGCATGCTTGTCTGGGTTTTAGATTATGCAGAATTGGGCTCAATAAGAAACATTATTGGAAGGCTAGCTAAACCCTCATTAGTTAATTCTAAGATCGCTTTGATCATGGCCTATGAAATTATGTATTTATCAATTCAACATGGATGGTGTTACATGGTTGATTTTCTCGTGTGTCAATTTACTTGTATTTGTCTAATAATTAAATGTTTTTTTATATTTTTTTTTATTCCAAGCATGTAAAAACATACAGTACAAATTGTTTATAAAAAAAATCTAAACCTTTTATTAATCTTAATAATAATAATAATAATAATAATAATAAAAGGGCACAGCACAAGCCCTCATGTGTGCTATACGCGTTTTGTATGCTACAACACTTAGATGTAGCCTGTAAATAGACTAAATACGTGGAAGATTATAGCAAAAATATCCCTCAACACTAGGAACACATCTGGTCAATTTTGCCCAAAATAGCAAACTGTAAAACACTGTTGATAACTGCTATAATTGTTGCATCTCCCTTGGCATACCACCCAGCAAACTACCATCCAACTCACGTGCTGCCAGAATAGGGGTGTCCGCTTGCCTTGGACTGCCCCGTGTACAAGTCAGAACTTGAAGTCCTCATGCACCAAGTTTGTCCACTATTATAGTTTCGTATTTTTAACAAAAACACACTATACTTCCTAATTTTTTTCAAATTAACATATCATACCTTAATATAAATCAATCCCTGATGTTTTAACTTTCTTCTTAATTAAACTCTTATTTATCCAAAATGGACTTCCAAAGTTTGCAACCTTGTCCATGTTTGTCTTTAAATTTTTAATTTGTGTAGTTTTGACCAATTTCAATCTATTTTCTAAAATTTATTTAGCAAGACCCTAAATTATATATCAACCTAGCATTCCAACTAGCTATGAATTAAATGTATGTCTAATTATGATTTGAAGTATTATTTATTTTTATTTTTTGAAAGAAAAATACTACATTAAAAAAATTAAAAATCTAAAATTAAATTATGACAGTCACTATAAAAAATAAGTTTCACATTTATATAAATATCGTTATAAGATATATGTTGAATTATAATATTTGTAAATTGACCAATTGAATATCAAATCAACAAATTCACTAATACAATGATCGTATATTTGGCATCATGATAGTTTTTATTTTTTAAAATATTTTTTGTTTAAAAAGACATCAAATTTATGTATTTTTTGATTTTTTTGATGATTTTTATTTGTTGATGTTAAAAATATAAAAAATATTATTTTAATACATTTTTAACTGAAAAACACTTTTAAAAGGTATCATATATCATATTACTAAACATACAAAAAAAAATCATGATACAAAGAAAAACCTCAATAATCATAGCATTATCAAATAAAAAAAGTAAGGATTAGATCTCTAAACCTATACTGCAAGTTGAGAAGCTCACTTGATACTCTAATGACATAAAACAAATCAAATTCATTAATTATCATAAATAAAAGAATGAGTTTTTATTTTAAAAATAATAATATTTGTTCCTAGTTATGTATGATAAATATTCTGAAAATAAGAATATGAATACTTAGAGAATAGAAAAAAAAATATAAACCATTTACTTGAGTGGTTTAGATAGAATATATAGCCTCTAAACTTTGTCATACTGCTTGAATGAAGGGATTGGAACATCATTTTCTCCTGATAGCGTTAACAAGGGATAAATATCTCTTACATAATATTAATATTGATGAAAATATGATAGATTTTTAGAAAACTTTTATATACCTAAAAATGTAAAGGAATGATCATTCTTAACTCTTGACTTTTAATATTTTATGTTAAAAGACAAAAAAAAAAAAAAAACAAATCCTTGTAACCTAATGTAAAGCATAAAAAGATTATCAACTTTATATTTATTTAGACCTTGAATGATTTCAAAATCAGGGGTGATGGATTTGATATCTCGTCAAATTCACATATACTAAGACTCGGCATGTAGCTAAACCTAAAGGTGTTGGGTTTATCAACAATATGTATTTAGGCTTAACACGTACCTGAACCCAAGAACATTAGGTTCAGTATCTTATCAAACTCACATGTACTTGGATTTAGTATATAGCTGAAACCAAGAGTGTTGGGTTTATTATCTTATTAAACTTATATATATTTGGGCTCAACGTGTAACTGAACCTAGAAGTGTTAAATTTAACATGTTGTTGTACCTGCATGTACTTGAATGCATGTACTTGAACCCAGTACCTAGTTAAACTTAACAATATTAGATTTAGAATTTTGTTAGGTCTATATATATTTAGACTTAATATATAATTAAACTTGAGAATGTTTAGTTTGATACTTTGTTACATCTACATGTATTTCTAAAAACGTGAAGCCCAGAAACAAGTTAGATTGATATCATTTAGACTTAATATTATAAAAGGTATAAATATATTGAGATATCACACTTCCTGCAACCGTTTTTTTAATCATCAACTTTTAAGCAAACATTTATATACACACACGCACACTGAACCATCACATATAATTAAAGACTTTTATTACTGGTAATCACATGCTCGTAAAACCTGCGGTCACTTCAACTCCAAAGAAACAAGGGAGCAATGCTTCTGTCCAAGAAGGGCTCGTTCCAAATGAAAAGACGGATCCTATTGTTTCCTTCAGCAGACCTCCCCCATTACCACATGTTCTTGTATTATTGATTGCTCTTTCGTTGTTCGAGATGTGGTCGAGCCATGATGGTGATGATGACTGACTGTTGATGCATAGCTACTACTCTCTACTGTTGGTGTTGGTGTTGGTGTTGGTGTTGGTGTTGGTGTTGGTGCACAAAAAAGCTTTAGTGAGTGCATCCTATCCAAAATACTTCATTAGAAAATGGAGTATTGTGTTTAGTACAAAAGCAAATAATCTTGCAATGAGATTCCAGGCTCTGATGTAGCCCGCCAGAAGTGGGTTGACAAAAGGTGCCACAAGTCTTCTGTAAATTTTTGAACAGAATTGCATTATGACATGAGGACTCTTTAGTAACCCTGCAGGGAAAAAAAAGAAGAAGAAGCATAAATGTCATCTTGCTATGAGTTCGATGCCCGTGGCCGTTTTGCTAATGAAAGTTAACGTACATTCTGCAGCTTTTGGGAAATCGTCAAATATTGCAGTCACATTATTTAACAGAGTCTGTATTTGTCAGTTGAACAAAGAGCACATCCAGAAGAAAGCAAGTTGTTAAAATCAGGTAATAAAATTCGTTAGAAAGGCTGTTCTTTGACCAAAAAGATTTAGGGAGTGTTGGAATCATGTTAATTTGATCAATTACCAGAACTATGCCTCCTGGTTTGATGGGTGATTCTATCACAACCAGAGCTTTCCTGTAGCAAAGCATATTAGTGAGAAACTCGTTTTCTTATGAAATTTGGAGGTCAGAAATGTTTGTTGAGTTGGTTATTACTTAATAACAAGTCTGTCCTCCTTTTGAGAACATTCATAGAAGCTGCATCCTTTGGTGAAGGGTATCTGTATCGTCTTCCATTCTGCATAGAGAATTCTCATCAATTTGTTAGACTGTTACGAAACAAATACATCTTAATGATAGACAATGGCTGATGATTATACCTAGGTGCCAATTCACTCCTGCTGTAAATTCATCATCTTCACATACATGTTCAAGAATGAACTTCACATTCTGGCCCATGCCTGCTGTAAGTTTTCCGAAGAAATGCATAACCTCCTGCAGCGATGCATAACAGGGTCTCTTATGCGCTATAGGCTCTCTTGATAGGAAGAATCGAGAAACATGTTTGTCAGATATAAAACAAAGTCTAACGAAGAATAAGAAGGTACCTTTTTCCCTTGCATTGGTTGAAGGAAGGAGCAGTCCTCAAAGAAACAGTCATCCGAAATATAACCATCTACTTCCTTCAACTTCTTCTCATTGATGCATGTATAGAATTGCTTGATCATATGGGATGGAGAAGGACCCAATTTGAAATCGAAATCATCTGCCGCTGACACAACCATATTTGCCCATCTTTTGTTGAATGATTTGTTACTTGCCCGTTTTCTAAACATGTTATCTTCATCTTGTTCTGCATTGATTGAGACGACCCTTTGAAGGGTGAGAAGCCAAAAGTGAGTCCAGCCACTCCTTCGGGGCAGATGGTCTGCCGCGGGAGTTGGCCATAGAAATTGACAGTAGCTGCCATTGGTGACTCACATAAGAAAATGGTGATATTGAAATGTACGCATGGAAAGGACTATAAGGATGAACCAAATATTAGAGAATCGAGCAAAGAATAAAGTAGCATGTTTTCTGCCTTGACAGGAAATCAAAGAATGTTCTCCAAGTACTAGGCATGACACTGCAAGTTTGAGCCGTCGAAGCTTTTAGCCTGTAAAGTTTGTGAAGAATCTCCGGACTAATTCCACCTTGTCACTTTATGTAGTTTAAGCCTTCAAGGCTTTTCTCGAAAGAGTTTTTCTTTTGAATGCTATCTACACAAATGCTTCATTTGGGATTTTAGAAGACAAATTCCCAATAGTAAAAATATATTTATGGAGATATTACATGTACACAAGAAGCTGAAAAACTCTGAAATTCTCACTTTCATATTTCACCATGACTAAACTTTAGTCCTGTTCATAACACAATCAACGAACAAATAAGTTGTCTCGAGGCCTCGGATGGAATAGCTAACAGCATGAACTACCCTTGCGAATTTGAAGGTTCTGAATTGTAATCTAATTAGAGTGGGAGCGAAGTGGTTTATGAGAAGGGAAATGACTACTTGTTTTGTAGTTTTTGATCAAGTTCCTGGGTTTACCTAGAAAAATAAAACGTTTCAAAGTTCCTTGTGCAAGGCCAACAATGGATTGTTCATGGTTAAGGTCAAATAGCATGCCTGGTTCAAACCCTGTCATGATCATAGCTTTTGGCTGGTACTAAACCTACATTTTGATTCCTATACCCTGTGGAGTCTCGTTTGTTTACGCCATGACACCTCCAAAGCTTTAAATTCTTTTAAATTTTGGTCTTGTTACGTATTTGGTCGCTTCAAAAATTTCCTATGCATTAAACATTTACGTTAAGCAGATTATATGATTTGGAAACTAGATAGCAAATTAGCATTAAACATTGGGAGTTATACCAACCACAGAGATGGAAACAAAAACATGCTTTGTAGCGAGAATCGGAGGTTGGGAGGCATGCCAGCGAAATTGTTGTCTTGCACGCGGGTGTCTGTTGAGATTCTGAGGATCACAAGGCAATCAATCATGATTAAACAATTAATGGCCTTGTGTTTTCGGGTGACAATTGTGCTCGCGATTTTCTTCTCTCTGCTGTTAATCTTCCAGTGCTCCCTATTTTCTTATATAAACAATGGGAACAGTGTCTGCGTTTTCCTGATGGGTGAAGACAGATTTAGAGCATGGCCAATAGAAAAGGATGAATTTGCCAAGGTTGGCTACCCATGTGACCCAGACAAACAGAAGATTGTCCAGTAGCTGCTTGGCATGACAATGAAAACGGCTGCTATATGTTCCAAAGATTAAAGAATTCTAGTTGACGTGATTCTGTCCACACTGACAATCTGCACATGGTAGAGAGATACCCTAGTTTCTACAGTTGACCATAAGGTTAAAATAATCCAAAATGGGAGCTTCACATACCAAAACAGGTCTCTCCCTGTCTCTCTCTCGGCAGCTTCACATACCAAAACAGGTCTCTCCCTCTCTCTCTCTCTCTCTCGGATAGAATCAGTTTTCCTGTGTAAATTTCTTCACGAACTAAAGGTTCAAAATCAATAGAGGATTGTCATATACTGGCAGAGTGAAAGAATTGTCGGCGACAGTCATTGAACATGTTAGTTGATAGTTTTGGTACTCTCTCCTGTATATGAATGCGTAATTCAGCATCAATTACACATAAATTTGCAATAGAAGATGGTCGATAGACCTGCATCAGTAATATAAGTTTCTGAAATTTCAAAGGTTGTTTCCCTGAAAACATGGGCAGAAACATTAAAGCAATACAGGTTTTGCTTCCCAAGGCTTGTTCAAATTGCTTCTAGTTAAACTAATATATGTCCGACAAAAAACAATGGAAACAACCCAACAAGTCCTGCCTCCTTGTAAAACGTGTATGTTGTACCCACCCCCCTATAAGATTTATTGACCAAAAAGTCTAGAAGCCTACCCGAGATCCAGCAGAAAGCTCCCAGATAGCTCTGGAAGCCGCACGTGTTCCTGGGCAGATATGCTCTGAGCTATCACCATATATATTAAACAATGGATAGTTTGTTCAGTCTATCAGTCACCAAACCATACTGTGAAAATCAATATCTCCCAAGTTGAGCTACAAGGGATCTTGTACAGCCTGACAAATTGGCTGGCATGCCTCCCAACCCTTCACCATTATCAACAGCCAGTGTTCCACTCTCCTAATCAATAATCTTCAGGACCTGGTATTGCAATGAGTTGTTGCACTATATAAACTTCTAAGTCCTGACCGAAGCAACTCAATCAAATATCCACAATTATCTACCCAAGCCTCTTCAAAGAGTAAAGCTCGGCACATACCTTGATATACACAATGAACAACAAGGTCCGTGATGTTACTGCTGCTGCACTTGACAAGATTTCCAGGGGCACCAGGCCACTTCCAAAGAGAGGGCAGATAAAGTCAAGGATAGCAGCAAATGCTTTCCACTCTATTGTTTCCGTGCTATCGAAAGCCTCTTCACATCAACATCAATCCCAGAGGAAAAGCTACCCGTGGAAGGCATAAAGAGCTGGATGCTATAAGTAATATTAGACATTGTATGATCGCCACAATTATCAAATCAAGCCTCTTTATCTTGTTTTGTTCTCTTTAATTCAAATTCCAGTTGAATTATTCATTTTTAGTGAGATATCATTTGGTTTCCAAAACAAAAGGCTAATAATATTCACACAAAAAAAAAATAGCATGCGAATGAAAATTGGCATCCCACATGATTGGCACAAAAAGCAACGGAACTAACATCGAAACCACTTGACATGCTCCTTCCTAACAAATTTCGTCGCCATAGTTATCATTAGCAATAAGCACCCATTAACGAGCATAGCCAATTGAAAGCACCAACTTGATAATATCTAAACTTGTAACTATATCACATGATGTCAAACAGAAAGCAAGTCTTAAATCATCATCTTCACGAAATGAAATATCTTGAATTTACCTAGAATTATTATTTTTGCGGATTTTCTTTCCTGCTTCATCTGCTTAGCCCGTTGTGTTAGATAGTAACATGTTTCCAGAAAAGGCACTACCTACCAGTACCAATAATGCTTAGAAATAATAACCAAGAACTTCTAAATATACTAAGGCATTGCCAACATCTAAATCTAAGAATGAAGGTGGCTCAATAGCCTCAAAACTCATACAAAATTTTCATCTGTGAAGGATGCATTTATTGAAAAAAATTATACTTTTGTTTACTTCCAAGTTCTAATGCCTTCGATTTCACAGTGGAGAAAATTATATAACAGACAGCCTGCAGAATGACAGCATCAAACTCCAATCCAGAATGATACCATGAGAAATCAGATATAAAGAAAACATGAAATTCGTGGAAATGGGCTGGTAAAGCATAGTGAAAACAAAAGTTTTGGGGATTCACAAATTAATTGTAACACAAGAATTTTGTTGTATTGACCCGTCCTAATCCATTTTCAAGTGCAACCAAATACCATAATGGAGTCCAACAAGAAATATCTAAAAGTCCTCAACCGCAAGTGTTCACAATCAGATACGCTGACAACCATTACATGCTCAAACATGATCCATTATTGTTGAAGTTCTAGGTCGACCTATGAATTCAATCTATCTCGAGTTGATCTGAACAGAATCTTGTACAACCAAAGGAGTTGCTGGCATGCCTCGTAACTTCCCATTGACTTGACAAGCCTATCCACATTTCCTCCCTAGACCAGATATCCCACCTATAGACCCCCCCCCCACCCCCCCCACCC